TAGCCATTCCGATCTATCTGTACACCTCGTTCCACGAGGCGTACAGATAGTTCGGAATAACTACATAGTTCGAACTATCTAGCCCGTGCCGCGTGTAGCCGCGCGGCACGGGGTTCGAACAAGCCGGCTTTTAAAAATGGCGGAGCCGGCTTTATGCTAATGAAGCCCGGGAAATTCAAATCCCGGGCTTCATTAGCAAGTTTGGTATGCATACATTACCCCCCTAGTTCGAACTAGGGGGGTAGTGTAGACATACCCAAGGTGAGACTCTGCTTGATTCAGACCCTGACTTAGATATGGGACTTAGATTGTGCTTTGGGTTATTTCTTAGGTGACGAGTTTTGGTCTATTTGCTATTACTTATAATCACTTAGGGTGTGTCTACACAGCAAAGTTATTTCAAAATGATGGCCCTTATTCCGAAATAACTACGCGAGTATCTACACAGCAATTCCATTACGTTGAAATAATTTCAAAATAACGGACGACTTGTTCTGGCTTCTGTAAACTTCGTTCTATGAAGAATAATGCCTATTCCAAAATAGCTATTTCAAAATAAGGCGCATGTAGACGCTCCATTTCTGCTATTTTATAATTAGCCCCTCTACCTGGCCATTCTAAGTTATTCCTCCTGGGGCTCTAAATCGAGATAACACATCTACATTAGGGAATGTTGAGGTTTCTCTGCAGTATAAACGTGCTATTTCAAAATAAACTATTTTGGAATAACTATTCTGAAATAAATGCAGTGCAGCCTTGGGTGCACCTACACTGCACTATAGCTTGAAATAAGATACACAAATTGCATATCTTATTTCAAAATAGCTTATTTCATAATTCGCGCTGTCTACACAGTGCCAAATTTCAAAATAACCCGCTATTCCAAAATATCCCTTACTTCTCATCGAATGAGGTTTACAGGGACGCTGGAAAAGCAAGCCCATTATATTTTGAAATAACGGGCTTGCTATGAAGACATGGGATAGCTATTTTGGGATACTTCAGTATCCCAAAATAGCATTGCAGTGTAGATGTAGCCTTACCATCAGACCTTATACTCTCAATAAATACGGTTGATATTTTTAACCCACAACAGTGTATTGTTTGTCAGACAAAATGCAAATTGGATCAGGGCCTGTTGTACAGATTTGGGGTCATCGGGTGGAACTGGCTGGAGTCTCTCTGTTGTTCTTCCGAGAGTGACTATTGAAAGGATGCATGTAACTTATGTTGGGTGTGTCCCTGACTGATTTTGGCTATGTAAATATAAGTCCAGGAGAAGACTGCAGCTTGTCACAGCCAGGCAGTGTGAATGAGAGCCCAGTTCGCAATGCCAGATGGTTAAACCGTACCCCACTTCCAGGTTACACCCCAGGAAGGTGCCATGCCAAAATTATTGACAGAGACACTCTGCTTATGGAAGGGAAGCTGGGATTCATGGGTTCTATCTGCCAATCTCTTTGTCAACCTGACCAAGACATGTTTGCCAGTGCCTGAGTTTACCTATCTGTATCATGGGGATATGTTCAGAGTGACTTTTGCTTGCTATGGCTTTGAAGACATTTGAATGAAAGGGGCAGCCAAATATAATGGTAGTTACTGAGGATAATTAATAATCTCTACCTCCAAAGTGATATTCCCCTGTGTCTGCTAAAAATGTTCTGGGTTCCCCTTTGTCATCTGTCCCCAGATCTCTCTGTCTACAATCGACACAGCCTCTATGGGCATTTACAGGGAATAAGATCTGTGGAGATGGAGGCATTATCTTGTGTTTACTTACGAACCAAACATACACAGATTAGCCAATTCCCCTCTGACTCAGCAGAGAACTCAAGAGATCACCTCTCCCTTTGGGAAGGACCCTTAATTACTGTTTACTCTTAAAGTTGGATCGATACTATATTATACTGAAAGGTTTCTCCACAGTCTATTTACATCCAAAGGCTGCTTCTCCCCTCGACACTAAGCGCACTCCACTGGGAGATCATAGAACTATATTATAAGTTGTTCACACCCCTAAGTAATTTCTCGGCATGGGATGTTGCCGTAGATGCTGGAGCAAGAGAGGTGCGGGATACAACTGTCTGAAGGGGCTTCCCAGGTAAGAAGCTTCCCTCTCAGAATTCCCCAGTACCCATCTCTTGCTGGGAGCGGCATAGGTTTGATGGCACAGAGACTAGGTCTGTTTTCCTTTCTGCTCTGCACAGCCATGAAACACCACACTTCCTTACTACTTCTGATGATTTTGCTCCAGGTTCATGAGGCAAAATGTCCCACTTGGCAGTTTCCCCACTGAGCTGATGGCTTCCAAACCAGAGGAGGCTGCATGCCAGTGGCTTATGCTTTTATATATGTGCCACGCAAGGCCACATTCTGAAGACGCGGCCCAGACATTGCTGTCTGAGGCAAATCTCTCTTCAGTGTAAGCACTGAGGAAAAACCTCAGGAGCCAGCCGTGTGATAATGCACAGAGTCTGTTACCTCCTTCTCTTGCATTTGAGGGCTCTGGCAGTTTCATGTGCTGAAAAGCATGGCGGGGCTAGGGACAAAGGAACAATGAGAAGACTTTTTCAACATGGGCATCTTGCCTCTAAGGTGTTAGGTCCGAAAATTTCAAAAAAAATAGTTAAGTAGAAACTGGGCCTCGAAAATTACAGCCCGAATGCTTGATGTTTGGGATGCTTGTAAGCAACAGAAAATGAGTTGTCCATATAGAAGGTGTCAGAGCACCTTACCCAAGTCAATGCCACCAGCATCAAGCTCAACGAAAAATCCATTTGTGAATCCCATTCAGGTAAGCTCGTTCCTCCTATAATGTTTCAGGCAAGGAGCTAGTAGGAAGTTTATACTTGAGATTACACGAAGGTTTCTAACCATTAGAGGAGTGAAGTTCTGGAACAGCCTTCCAAGGGAAGTAGTGGGGGCAAAAGATCTATCTCGCTTCAAGATTAAACTAGATGGGTTTATGAAGGGGATGATTTGATGAGATAACATGATCTTGGTAACTAATTGACCACTCATTATCAAAGGTAAATAGGTCAATGGAGGGATGATAGGAGTTACTATAGAGAACTTTCTGGGTGTCTGGCTGATGAGTCTTGCCCACATGCTCAGGGTTTAGCTGATCGCCATAATTGGGGTCGGGAAGGAATTTTCCTTCAGGGTAGATTGGCTGAGGCCCTGGAGGTTTTTCACCTTCCTCTTGACATGGGGTATAGATCACAGCTGGAGGATTCTCTGCATCTTGGGGTATTCAAAGTATTTGAAGGCTTCAATATCTGAGATCTAGGTGAGAGGATTATTCTAGGAGGGGGTGGGTGAGATTCTGTGGCCTGCACTGTGCAGGGGGTCAGACTAGATGATCATAATGGTCCCTTCTAACCTTACAGTCTATGAGTCTATGAGTCTATGAGCTGCACAGGAGTAATATGGATTCTGTAAATAAAATCTTGTATCAGTGTTACATGTTCAGACTTTCAGTGGAACTCGATGTTCCCTTCTTCACGTGTTGTGAGAGACAGTAAATACACAAGGGCTCCATTTTGGGCATGGAGTGGGGGGGAGCAGCCATGCACTCTGGGACGTGGCTAGCTTTTCATCCCGTTCCTCATATGCTAAGGGAGTGAGGGGGAAGTGCTTCCATTCCGTGCCTGCCTTTCACATCTGGCTGGTAAAGGTAAAAAGTGGAAACTAGCTCAAATTACAAAGGATGTATCGAAGTAAACAACACAGGTATGCAGGAGCAAGATTAGAAAGGTAAAGGCACAGAATGAGCTCAAACTAGCTAGCGACATAGAGGAAAACAAGAAGACATTCTATACATATTTTAGAAGCAAGGGGAAGACCAAGGACAGGGTAGGCCCAGTGCTCAGTGATGAGGGAGAAACAAAAACAGGAAACTTGGAAATGGAAATGTGATATAAAGGTTTCCCACAAAAGCGTGTGTGGAAATTGTTAATGCGTGGAACGCCATCATATTTGGAATTGGCATTAGTCGGGTCAGTGGTTCATGGTTTATTTCTCAGAATAATGAAAATGTCAGTTTCCTGAGTGCAAAGAGTGTCCTGTCGACTTCACCCATGAGAAAAATGTCCATTAGTTCACGCACTGTCTCATATTTATATTTTCTCCACACCCAGGTTTTTGTACGGAGGCTATCGCCTTAGGTCCTGGGAACAAACAGAAAGTCAGGAGAACATACGGTACCTGCCGGAGACAACATTTCTCTTTCAGAGTTGGGCTCTTTCACCTCTGTCCATGTCCGATTCCAACACCACTGACTTCACCAAGCCTTCCGTCTTCATCCTGCTGGGCATTTCTGGCCTGGAGGCCGCCCATGTCTGGATCTCCATCCCCTTCTGCGCCACATACATTGTAGCCATCTTGGGGAACGTTACCATCCTTTTCATTGTGAAGAGGCAACCGAGTCTCCATGGGCCCATGTACTATTTCCTCTGCATGCTGGCCATCACCGACCTGGGCCTGTGTAACTCCATCCTGCCCAAATCACTGAGCATCTTCTGGTTCAATTCCAGGGAGATCTATTTCAGTGCCTGCCTCGCCCAAATGTATTTAATTAACTGCTTTGCAGTCATGGAGTCTGGGATCTTCGTGGCCATGGCTTTTGATCGCTATGTGGCCATCTGTGAGCCCCTGCGACATTCCACCATCCTGACCAACCGCGTGGTGGCCAAGATTGGCCTGACCGTGGCACTGCGCGGCAGCATGATTGTGCTTCCGTATCTCCTCCTGGCCCAGCAATGGCCATATTGCAGAACCAACATCATTGCCCATTCATACTGCAAGCACATATCTGTGGTGTCCCTGGCCTGCGCCGACATCAGTGTCAGTAGTTACTACAGCCTGACCGTGACAGTCTTTGTGACTGGTCTGGATGTGTTTTTTATATCAGTGTCCTATAGCCAGATTCTAAGGGCCATCTTCAGCCTCCGCTCAAAGGACGCCCGGCTCAAAACCTTTGGGACCTGCAGCTCCCACCTCTGTGCCATCTTAGTCTTTTATATCCCAGACGTCTTCTCCACTGTCATGCACCGGTTTGGTCGCAATGTGCCCCTGTATGTCCTCATTCTTTTTGCTAATGTGTACCTTGTGGTGCCCCCCATGCTACACCCCATTATCTATGGGATGAGGACCAAGCAAATCCGGGACAGTTTGCTCTGGGTTTTCACTCATAAAAGACCCTAAAGTTTCATTCTGGTGCATTCACTCTCAAACCGAACTCCACTCATGAGAAGGTTCTGGACCATCCTTCCTGAAGCACTAACTGGACAGTAAGAGAGACATTGGACTCTTTCCTGAGCTTACTGTGCTTCATCAGTATGACATGGGGGATCAGTGTAGGTACCACAAATTGAGTTGCCACCTCTCTTATTGCTTGTAACTAGACCCCCAACGCACCAGCCTTGATCACATCTCTTCTATAAGGGTCCATCCCTGCTCTACCTCTTCTGCTCCACACCTTCCTGGCACTCACACCTCTCCTCCCCTCCTCTTGTCACTGGAACATCTCCATGTGTCCTTGAACTCATGCAGCTACAAGGCAGCTGCATCAGATTTTTGGTCATGGGAGAGGAACTTTAATCATGATTCCAGGGGCTACTTAGGCTCATGAAATATCTAGTATTTTGGCCATTAACTTTCAAATTAGCTGACAGGAGCACTGTATCCAATTCCTATATAAAAAAGAATTTTAAATAAATATTAGAACCACTCAGCTCCAATACTAACAAGTTCTGATATTTTGTTGCAAGTCATTTAAGGGACACTGGTTAGGTTTAAAACTTTAGTGTGTGTTCTCACTGTATTACTAACTCTACAGAGAGAGGATTACTTCTCAGCTCTGGGTGGAGAAGAGCTAGAGTCTAATGGGACACAGTAGGGCACAGGTATGTTTGGGTACCTTGCCTTTCTCAGGCAGGAGCCAGTTCCAATCTTGAGGCAGCATGTGCTGGCTGTCTAGTTATGGGATTAGAACCCACCACCTTACATTGTCTAGGTTAGCTGTCCTACCTAGCCTGATCTAGAAACCACAACACCACTTTATATATAGGAGCATCAGAATGGCCATGCTAGGTCAAACCAGTGGTTTCTTATAGATAGATAGATAGATAGATGCATGTAACAGTAGGGTAGAGGATGATAAAATACAAATAGGATCAGATGAGAAACAGTGGCATGAACAATAATTGAATTTAATATATCATATAACAATAGACAACTAAAAGTGTCAATATTTTCAAGGGCTTATCTGCAAATTGTTGCTGTCTAAATGATAATATGGGTGAATGTGAATACCTTTTATTAAATGAGAATATTGATAAAGTAGGCAACACAGAAACTTGATGTAATGAGGATAATCAATGGTCCTAGTGGGGTACAAAATATACCAGGATGGAATAGTTCATTCTGGGAGAGGATGACATTATATGTAGAACTGAAATAAAAATCTTCAGTGAACCCAACTGTACCATAGAATCTCTATGGCTAGTAATCCCATGTTTAATAATAAGAATGGAGCATTTGGGATATCACCTGACCAGGATGATGATAGTAACCAGGAAATTCTAGGGGAAATCTCAAAGGCTATATAAATAAGCAACTTGATAATAATGGGTGGTTTCAGCTATCCTCATATTGACTAGATATATGACACCTCAGGGATGGACATAGAAAGAACATTTTTTGATACCTTAAGTAACTGCTTCTTGGAGTCCTGGAACTCAAAAGAGGAGAGGCAATTCTTGATTTAGACTAAAGTAGAGCACAGGATCAGGTCCAAGAGGTGAATGTAGCTGAACTGCTTGATAATAGTGATCATAACAAAAAAAAATGTCTCCGAGGGAGAGCCATGTTAGTCTGTAACTTTAAAAACAGTGAGTAGTTCTATGGCACCTCAACACTGCCGTATTATTTCAGCATAACTGACATTATTCCAAAATAACACAATCCGTGTCTACACCACAAGCAGTTATTTCATCATAATGTCAAAATAATGTCTATTTGGAGGACTTCCTACTCTGATTCCAATAACCCTCATTTTATGAGGAGTAAGGGAAGTTGGAAGAATAGTGCTCTTCCTCAGACTTCTGTGTAGGAAAGCCAAATTTGCCTAAAGCTGAATTAAGCTATTTTGACTTAAGTTATGCAGTTGATGTAGCTCAGGGGTTCCCAAACTTTTTGACACGGGGACCAGTAAATCCATTCACGAACTTTTGGAGGACCAGTAATGTTCATTTGCATATGTGCATATTCATTAATCAAATGATGAATATTCAAATAAGTTGTTTCTGGTCCTCCTAAATCTCCCAGTGCCAGCTTTAGCAAAGCTTTTGATATGGTCACCCACAATATTCTTGCCAGCGAGTTAAGGAATATGGATTGGATAAATGGGCTGTAAGACAGACAGAAAGCTGGTGAGACCAGGGTTTCCCAAACTTTTTACTTTAATTGGAACCCTTTTTTTTTCAGTTCTTCTTTTTACAGCCCAAAAATATAAACACATGAAAAACAAAGTGAGAAAATACCAGACATAGAACATGTCATATAACATGTCTGGTATTTTCTCAGTAGGTAAGTTGTATTATTACTAGATGTATCAGTTTGTAGTTTCGAACTGCCTGGCTGGTAAATGTGCTCAGGCTGCATGAGTGTGTCTATCAGCCAGACAGTTCACAACTACTCGAGGGGTTTGTTGTGGGGGGGGACAATAGAGTCCCCGGGCTGGACTAACTCATGCTTTATGCTTTGCGGGGTGGAGGTGGGAAAAGGGGCAGCGTCCCAAGATCTACATATGGCCGGGTCAGTCCCACTCCCCGCAGGCCGATTCATTCCTCCCCCCTGCTTCCCCCGCTGTGCCACTGGCCAGCCCCACTTCCCTTAACCCCCTCCCGGGCAGCCTAGTC